GACTTTTCCTTTATCCAAAAACCAAATCAACAAACAAAATACAAAGTCATTGTGATACATTTTTTGTTCTCTTTATTAATTGTATATGGAAGTATTTGTCATTTATTCTTTTATCTCTCAGGCAACATGTACCATAATGTATGTGCAAATGCAAACATTTACGTATATGCTTATAGTTAGAGCATTTTATACAAACCATTAGGGAATTCACAGTAGAAAGACAAGGGCAAGATGTGTCTTTGATCTACAGATGCTGCTGAAAGAAGCAAACGTGAATCCCAAAATGCAAATGTTGAGGATGTCTCCCTACCACACCCCCATCTCTGCCATGTACCTCCTTTAAAATTACAGTTTTGAGTATTTGTTCTAGCTTTCAGCCATCTTTCAGTCCTAAGTGATCTTCTTACTTAGGAGCTGTCTCTCATCTCTCTCAGGCAACCATGACAAATCAGAGTGAGATGTACTAAGGCAATTCTAACCCAATAGCATCTTGGTACGCCTTTTTCACTTAAAGAAGAATATAAACTCATGATAAAAGAGAGCCTGCTATGTTGTATGTATATGTGTGTGGCCCTAGTCACTATAGAACTGTTTAATATTCTGCAAAATATTTTTACAAGCTTAGTTTCAGTTACTATAATCATGAAAATAAATTTTCACGCCCTGGCACCTATTAAATTTAGCAACCAAGTTCTTTTCTTGAGCTATTATTCAAATGGATTCAGTTTGCATTCAAATTAATCTCAAGATCATAGAAATTAACAATGGGAAAAGTACATTAAATCACCTAGTCTATTTCTTTGCTAGGGGAGAATTGATCTTTACATCATAATCTCTAGTGCTTTGTCCAGTCAGTTTTAGATGTCTTGAATAAGTGTTATTCTGATTCTGGGTGGTCATCTCATCAAATTCCAGGGGAAATTCTTTTTCACAGCCTACTAGAATATATATGGATTTTCCGACGCTGTGCAATTTGCCAGTGTTCAGAGCCGCCAGGAATCAGACAATGAATGTTTCAGAGGAGTATGTGTGTGCATGTATGCAGGTACGTGTGTGTGTGTGTGTGTGTGTGTGCGTGCGCATATTGAAGGGGGTTGGGTAGGCCATGTGAGGGGTAGAGAAAGACAAAAAGAGGACATCCTGAGAAGGATGGTACATTTGATTATATTTGAGATTTGACAGTTGTTTGTTTTCATTTTGTAATATCCTGAGCGGCTTGGGGAATTCAGGGGAGAAGTTGATATAATCAGAAAGCCAAGAGAGAGGCAATGCAATTTGAGTAGTAATTGTGAAATTTTTATGAGGTCAAATATCTAGAAGCCAAATTAAAAAATCTTTACCATAAGAGTATATTTTATTAATCTTACATAGGGCTAGTTTAAGTTATAGGCTCTAAAGTAGAAAGGGTGTAGGCATTCTAATGTTAGCTATTTTTCTGTCTTTATAATTCAGTTGCAGCATTCCAGTTAGACAAATAGGAAGGTAGATAGACAGACAGACAGATAGGTGGAATAAGTTACTATATTCACCATCCAGCTCAAGAAACAGAACATTAGTACAATGAACCCTTTCTTTTTTTTAATTGAACTATAGTTAATTTATAGCATTGTGTTAATTACTGCTGTACAGCAAAGTGATTCAGTTATACACACATATATATATATATATATATATATACATTCTTTTTTTATATTCTTTTCCATTATGGTTTATCATAGGATATTGAATATAGTTCTCTGTGCTATACAGTAGGACCTTGTTGTTCATCCATTCTATATATAAAAGGTTACATCTGCTAACCCCATCCTCCCACTGCATCCCTCCCCCAACCCCCTCCCCCTTGGCAACCACCAGTCTGTTCTCTATGTCTGTGATTCTGTTTCATAGATAGGTTCATACGTGTCATATTTTAGATTCCACGTATAAGTGATAGCGTATGGTACTTGTCTCTCTCTTTCTGACTTACTTCACTTAGTATGATAATCTCTAGGTCCATGCATGTTGCTGAAAATGGCATTATTTCCTTCTTTTTTATGACTGAGTAGTATTCCACAGTGAACCCTTTCTTGATTGCTGTTGTATTGAACTCAAATGTTCTCTGTTTTCTTATTTACAAAATGAGATAAACAGAAGGTATGAATCAAGTCAATTCATAAATGTTAGGGTGCAACAAAAATAAAACACATTTTATGATCTTATTAGAACATGTGTTTTATTCAAATGTAACAAGTCTAGTAGAAGACTGGGAAGGAGTTGGTGCCCCAGAACTGACATGAAAAGCATAAGGCTCTCTTCTTTAAGAATCTCATGGAATCTAAGGATCAGAAAGCACTTTAGATTCATTCACCCTCTGTTGTGCTGCTTGAATTCCCACTTTAGCATCCAGGACAAGTAGTTGTTCAACTCCTGCTTGAATATCTTCTGTGACAAAAAAATCATTAGTACTCAAGGCGTCAGTAATAATGGTTTGAAGGTTCTTATTTCCAGTGAGACCCGAACTCTGCCTGCTCAACACTTTTATCCATGAGTCTAGCAGTTAAGGGCTGAACAGAACTAATCTAATTGCTTATAAATGCTCCTCACACATTTGAACACAGTTGTCATTGCCCCTTCCTCAACCCTCTAGGTGCTCCCACCCCCAGTTCGTTAAGCTAATCCACTCTCTCCCAGACAAGGTCACTCCTTCTGCTTGGCTTGCACCTGTCTTAAGTGGTGGCTCCAGGCAAACCCATTCTTCACCGTCTTCCTGAAATACGTTCCTTCAGTGCCTGAGACATAACAAGGGCTTAATATATAATTGCTAAATGGATAAGCTTAGTCTAGCCAATCATGAAGCATATTTATCTATATTGTAAACCTTAGTCTAGAAAACCTCATTTTCTTTAGTACCTCCCATATCATTCTCTTTCCAAGTCTCAGTCCTCAGAAAAGATGAAAATACAACCTTTGCTTCCAAATTCTTCAGTCTCTCAGTAACTGATCCATCCTTTCTGATAAGCCAAAAACACAGCAAGCATTATTTCAAGCCTTCCTGTCTTCCACCTACTCTTCGAAAAAAGGAGAACAGTTTGCATTGAACATATACAGAACTCCCTCAGTGGCCAGCTGACATGTACTGGGTCTGAGCTGTGCCCACACTACAGAGCCCTCATATGACCTCTAGAGGACATGGCATAGATTTTACAGCAATGACTGGTGTTACTCAGGTTGCTGCTGGCGTCAGGGAGGTCTTTGTGCAAAGCAGTAAAAAGGGCCCCTCTGGTGCCTCAGAGAAAAGTCCCCACCCCAGTGTTCTGGCAGCCCCACTTCCTTCTCCATCAGGCACCTTGTGGGCTCAACTCTCAGACAAGCCAGTAAATCAGATGACTGATAATAGAAAAAGCTCTTGGAAACATTTGTTGGTTGAAGGGTGATGTTATGAAAAGAAACAGACCAAATGCTAATAATTACTTTAAGGGGAATGAACCACACGAATTCCTTTACATTTAGCCATGCCTGCAAACCCAGTCCACTTTGGTCAGATGTGTGCATTTTTACACAGAAAAGTGTTAACAGAGCCCTGAAGGATGGGGAAGACTTGTAACCTGAAAGGGGACCTGCTATGGGTCCTGATGCTGTTGAGCCCACTGACTACAGGATCACTACTTTTTTTTTTTTATAAAAATTTATTTATTCATTTATTTATTTTTGGCTGCGTTGGGTCTTCGTTGCTATGCGTGTGCTTTCTCTAGTTGCGGTGAGTGGGGGCTACTCTTCATTGTGGTGCGCAGGCTTCTCATTGCGGTGGCTTCTCTTGTTGTGGAGCACGGGCTCTAGGTGCACAGGCTTCAGTAGTTGTGGTGCGCAGGCTCAGTAGTTGTGGCGCACGGGCTTAGTTGCTCTGTGGCATGTGGGATCTTCCCGGACCAGGACTCGAACCCATGTCCCCTGCACTGGCAGGCAGATTCTTAACCACTGTGCCACCAGGGAAGTCCAGATCACTAGCTTTTGCTGTTCAGTTAACTGTTACCGCACAGACAGGATGTGGAGATGTAACTACCCCAGCAGGTTGCCTGCTGCTTGATGGTCCTGAGGCTCAAGCCCAGATATTTGTCTGGTGATGAAAAGCTGAGCTCATAAAGAAGTGGAGAGTGCTGGGAGAAAGCATGAGCACATCCCTTGTAGGGAGGCCAAATGTTAGATCAGTCATGTCTTCCAGCAACTGCAGTGACTGGGGGGAATGAAATGTTAATTTATGCTCATCACCATCAGCAGCCTGGAAATGAGTTCTGTAATCTGTCTGATTCTCAGGCCCACGTAGCTGCCGATCTGTAACCTTTGGGCTCCAGTCAGGGGCAAACCCTTTCACTGCCATGGCCATCATTGGGATTAGCAGACCAGGTCCTCCTTCCTAACTTCCTTTTTGTCCCCAATGCTCCCCCACGAGTTCTGCCTACCTTCCCCCGTACAAATCTGAGATGCCCCAGTAGCAGGACAATAAAGAAAACTTCACATCCACGTGGAACAGTTAGTGACTGACTGAAAATGCTTTTCTACAACCCACAGGGACACAATGATGTGTGTGAAAATGAAATAGGTTTATTTCATGTGGTTTTAAGAGGTCATTTGGGACAACAGAAAATAGCACCCAGCTTTGTAGCACTGGAAGGTTGAACTTGCAGTTTGTTTATAATTTTTTTCCTCAAGAAAAGCCTATAATCTTTTTTTGGGGGGAGGGGGTTGGAGAAGAGGTAATGGAATTATCAGCAAGAAAACCTGAATTCACCCCCTAGCGATATGAATAATTGGAAGTTCTTGAATGGAAATTGGCAAGGTTACAGATGACACAACATTTGTTGATGTAAAATGGGATGTCCCCAGAGGCATAGATAGCTTTAATTGTTCTTCTCCGAGAGCTTTTATGAACCCGGAAATAAGCTGTTATTTTGTATTTTGTAGTATCTTTGTGGCAGGTGCCCTGGATAGCAACAAAGAATATTTACTAAAGTTCTCTTTCTAGACAGAGCCAGAAGACTCACAGGGCTGTACTTTGCACTGAATTGTGAGTATAATACGCCAAAGCTAATTTCCATTTGCTTTTTGTTTGTGTTCTGTCACATACAGGGCACCCTGTACAGTTTAGCCATGTGCTTGACCTTGATGAAGTTCTCTGTTCATTTCCTGATTCATTTCCTGATTTCTGCAAGTGTTTCTTCCTCGGAGGTGTTGGGAGGAAAGGTGACATGATCGGAGTTTTAGAGAGGCGGGTGGGAGGTGTTCTTGGCAGGGTGTGTGGGAAAGTCAGATTGAGCGGACTGAGTGAGGAGCTCCTGCTGGGGGGACCTCTTACGCTGATGGCTCTTGCTCCAAGAGCTTGGAAAAATGTTTTGGCTTTGGGTCATGGAGAACAGGTTTGTGCCATTATTTCTAAGGCTCGTTGGCTCTTGCTGTCAACTTGCCAAGGTTCAATGATTATTCCCCAAATCACAAAGAAACCCGACCTCAAGGGGCGATCTCTGCAGTGTGTCCAAATTCATATTCACTCATTTCTAAGCCTTCTACAGATCATGTCTCAGTAGAAATCATCTTTGAGCATACTGTATCCACTTCAGTGTGCACTTGTCTTCTCCGTGCTCTGGTACAGCAGTGAAGACATTCTCGGACTGTGAGAAGTGCATCTTACTTCCATGGCTCCTCCGTGGGCACAGACTTCAGCGAGGACTGGTCCATCTCTGAGGCCCAGACACTGCACTTGTCGCTCTTACCCACTCTCTTTGCGTTGCTCTTAAATCTCACATACTGGCTCTTTGATCTCACTGAGATGGCTATGCTCTTGATTTTCCACCTGGACTTGTCAGCACTCTGATCTCCACTGCTTGTTCTTTCCAGGCTACATTTCATGGCTCTCTCTTTCATTCAACATTCCAATTGGTGGAAGCGAGCTGTCCACCAACCTCACGTAGCTCAAAAGTAGAGGAGCCAGCACTGGAAGGCAGGCAGGCACTCCTGGCTCCAGATCACATGGTGTACGGTTTTAACCACTGTGTGGTATTAGAGCACTAACTCATTCTCTGAAAATTGAAAAACAAACAAAAAATTTGTTAACTTGAGTCACAGGCACAATGTCTTCTTCATAAAAATATATTGTTTTTGAGAAATCTCTTTATGATCTAAAAGGCAAAGTAAAGATTGAGCATCTTTCTCAGGGTTCTGGCTGACCTGCCAAGCACTGGCAAGGCTGGCACCCGGAAGTCAGGACCCTTTGGCAGTAGGAGAAGCCTTAAGCTAGCAGGAATGGGGGAGAGAGAGCCTTGAGAGATGCATTCTTCTGTTTGGTAGGAAATATGATGAGAGATATAATGGATATATGTCCTCAAATTTATTTGCATATTTTTTTCATATCTTTCCCCTCTCAATCAAATTTTCCACTTTGCTTTTTAAGTAAATTTTAACAAATGCTTCATCACTTATTTACTGTAATTATGGATGTGGCCTAATCTCCCTGTGCCCATTTCCCCCTCTGTAATGATAAACTTACGTCAGGAATAATGTGAGGAATAAATGAGGGTGTGCAAAGCTCTTAGCATAGTGCCTGGCATATCCATTAAAAATGTTCAATAAGTGTTAGCTGTCATCATCATTATTCTTTTAAAAAGTCATAGTAAACTCTTGTGACTGATATATTTCAACATGAGCCAAGTTTGAAACATATAAGCTGATCATTTGAGTTAGAGATTTATTTCGTTCTAATTAAAAAATGTAAAAATAAAAAGAATATTTATTGAGCCTCACTGTACATCAGGCCCTCTGCTAGGAGTTTACGTATCGATTACCGACTTGATCTTAGCTAGCGTCAAGCCCATGAGCTACCTAAAGCAGAAACAAAGATTATTGCCATTTGATGTATGTGGAAACTGAGGCTAGAGAGAATAAGTGATGCCCAAAGTCATTCAGCTGATAAAAGGCAAATCAGGACTCAAATCCATGTTTTCTGACTTAAAACCCAATGCTTTCTCCATAGTACCAGCCTGCCACTCTCCCCTGACCTGCATTTGTCCATCTCTGCTGATTACCATGCTTTCCCCAAATTCTGGCTTTGGCATAATGACAACCTCAGTTCCTTTGCTTGTAGTTTCCGGGATCTGCTTTCATTCTCCTTGCTTTACAAAGAGTTTTAATTCTTAAAAAAGTTGTTTCTTTTACATGTGAAATTTCTTGTCTTGCAATTTCTCAAATCTATAAATTCACTGTCTATATCCTGTATCTCATTAAAGAATTGGATGATGGCTATATCGAGTAATCTTTAGGGCTTATGCTGAGTAACTTGAAAAGGATCATTTGAAGATGGAGGTAAATTCAGAGCTGTTAGCTCTGCCATCTATGAGGAAGACTCAGAGTACCATAGTGCCCATGTGTGTGTTTTAGGTAATGAATGAAAATTTGCCGAGTTGTTCAGGTGATTGTAGCGAAAGGGTACATGGGAGAATGTTTCTTTACAGAGTGAAACTTTGGTTTTGCAAAACTTAGTTTAGTTTCACTTTTGGCCTGGTTTTAACTTCACTCTTGCTTTTCCTCTTCTCTGGGCACGGCTCCATCCACTGTAACTCCCAGTGTCTCAGTCTTTCTAACAGTCCACTTGCATGAATCCTGAAGAGCCCCGAACGGGTCCAGCAACAGTCAAGGCTGCTGCTGTGTGCTGCACAGTTGCACTGGCTGCAGAAATGCAGCAGCTTGAAGGGGACTCCATGTCAGCTGGGTCCTGAGAGGGATGGGGCTAACCCCCTCAAATCCCTTTGTCATAGGCTGATGTCAGAGAATTATTGAGTAATCTGGACAGTTTCTTGTCTGTTCCCGTGAGGAGAAAATGGTAAGGATCAGATACATGAGTGAGTCATTTGTATATTCATCCATTGTATATTTATCCATTCATCAAAAAGCTTTCCAGGCCTTCTATGTGTTTCTCTCTAGAATGTAAGCTCCCAATACCCAGCACAGGGCCTTGCATGATAATTTTCTCTTGATTCAATGAATGAATGAGTGGAGAAAAAACACTGTGCTATGGGGCATGTAAGAGGGAGACTTAATTCCTCAGAGAAGACTCCAGGAGGAAGAGCTATGCAAGAGGAGACTTGAAGGACGAGTAGGCATTAGTCATGAAGTAAAGAAATGTTTGTTTGAGGATCTGTATCCCCCGGAGTCCTCATCATCAGAGAGGACAGAAAGTGGCAAAGATGGGCATAGCCAACCACAGAGAAACACTCCAGAATGAGGGATACTGGCAACACAATAATAGAGCTGAACATAGGAAAAGGGGTAGCTAGATCTATTTTTTATTTGTTTATTCGACAAATACTTAGTAGCACTTAATATGAGTTGGGTATTCTATGTGCTTTATAAATTCATCCTCATAGCAAAACTATTATTCCCATTTTACAGATGGGAAACCAAGGCACAAAGGAGTTAAATAACTTACCCAAGGTCATGTAGTAAGTGGTAGGTAGAGCCAGGATCCAAATTCAAGCAGCCCGGCTGCAGGGCCCATTTTCTTAATCCCATCACCATGCTAACCCTTGTGGATGAGCAAAATAGATGATCAGAGACTTGGTCATTCAAGGCAGGAAAGGCATAGTTATACCTGGACTCCTAGAAGCTATCTTTATACAGGGTAAGGAGGTTTCCTCTACCAAAACAGATAGATACTTTGTGATAATTCAGTAACCTACTTCCTGTTGCATTTAAAGAGGAAAAGGCTCTTCTTAACCTTTTCTGACTTTTGCTGTTGTTTGTGTGAAAAGGAGGAATAAGTAGAGAGAGAGAGGAGACTGGCTATATAAATGGGGGAAATTCTAGCTCAGCGTTTTGAGTATTCAGCCAGACTCTTTGTTCATTCCCAGAAAGTGATTCCTGCCAAAGCTTGCTCCAGTGTGCCCAAATCTAGGTCTGGACGTCACTTCTGCTCTACATTGCTTCAGGAACAGTCAGAATCTCCAAGTGATTTTTTTTTTTTGTATCATGGTAAGAACACTTAACATGAGATCCACCCCTCTTAACAAATTTTTATGTGTATTGTTAATTGTAGGTACATCGTTGGACAACAAATTTCTAAAACTTATTCATCTTGCATGACTGAAACTTTATACCCATTGCATAGCAACTCTCCATTTCTTCCTCCCCCAGCCCCTGGCAACCACTACCCAAATAATTTTAAAGTGTCTGAAATGGTGGTGAGCAGAGTCGGGTTCAGAGATAATTTGAGGTTTCCTTCCCCCAAATTATCTAGACAAAAGCTTGATAGACATATTTGCAAAGTTCTAATAGATAGTTGTAATTATTACCCAGAAATAAAGAATTTGCCTATTTCTGACATTTCTAGAATGATACTAAAACAATTTTTATGTTTAAATTTTTAAAAATGATGGCCAATTTCTCTTATAAACTTTTCCCCATGGAGCTCTTCTGACGTGTTGCGTTTGCCAGTGAGTGTAATGCGTGTGACAGAGTCAGGAGGAATTGCTGAAAGGCCAATGTGGATAAGATTCATGGTATGAGCCTGTTGAAGGAGCGCTGGTGATTCAGATTTGCTGGATTGACAGAAATGACTTTTGGTGAAAACAGCATGTAGCTACTGTTTCCAATAGATTTTTCTTCTAACCTGTATTTAGTGAGTAGTCCCCACAGCCAATGGTCTACTGGCTTCTGGACCCAGGAGCTCAAGCTCATTTTTCTCTCCCTAAAAGCACTATCATTTCCAGATAGCAGTGCGTGTTAGAAACCTGTTCCTGGGGCTGCTTTGTCAGGAGAGGGAGATACAGAGTCTGTCGGGAACAAACAAAGACATCATTGACAGTGGTGATTTATCTTGCTACCTGCAACATGCCCTTTGGTTTGATAGCTGCCTGGGTTGGCTGGGATTATTTATCTTGCACGCACACTGATATATGGAGGTGAGCTCCTGGCAGGCTTCCTTCTTTTCTTCCTTCCCTGCCTGGCCAGGCTCCTCCGTTCACTCTTCCATATCAGAGAGCTGTCAGCCAGCATTGTCCTGGGCAATGAGAGGGGTGG